ACAATAACAACAACAACAACAACAACAACAACAACAACAACAACAACAACAACAACAACAACAACAACAACAACAACAACAACAACAACAACAACAACAACAACAACAGCAGCAGCAGCAGCAGCAGCAACACATTTGTCAAAGCTGATGCGTATTCCTCTTGCGACAGCATACATTGTCATGCCCCGTGTGTGTGTGTGTGTGTGTGTGTGTGTGTGTGTGTGTGTGTGTGTGTGTGTGTATGTGAGCATGTGCATACATCACGTGTGAACGTATGCACCCAGCTTGAGCCTCCAGCCTGCAGATGTGCCTAGGACATGGATGCTAGATACATGCAGTCAATGTGTTATTGGCATTGTATTAGTGGCAATGACCAAACTGACATCTTCCCACACAGCTTCATCATGCATATCCTGCAAGGGAACATACAGCCTGATAATACTCACATGACGACGCAGTGAAAGATATTTGTACGTATTGCATAGGTCACTTCCACAGGCACCTAAGCTAGTACGGCGCTGTTCAATGAAATCCAGTCGAGTCACTCAAGTACACGCCAGGTATTGCGCAGCCCAAGACCTGCTAACACCGGGCTGCAAAATAGGGTGCAAGGCGCAAACTTGACTCACGTGACCGGATTTCATTGAGCAGCGCTGTATAACAACTGCATCATGTGTATACTGGTATACTGGAAGCAAACATTTCAAGTACCTGATCCTCTCCTGCGCAGTGCACTTGAGGGCATACCGGGGACGGTGCGGGAACTTCCCTCGAATATGGGATCCATGCCGCGCATGTTGCGCAGGTTCTCCTGCGACGACGTGCGTTTCCGTACGGACTTTCGATTCTGCAGCGTCGCCGCCAGACCTTGAACCTTCTTGCCGGTGTACTTTTCCACCAGGTCCACCAGGTCCTGTCCATCTTCGGTCTTGAATATCAGCGTGCCTTGGCCCGTTGCACTCAACCTGCAGAAGCAGAGGCGACAGTCCCGGAATGTCCACCCACATGTCATGCATCTCTCAACGCACTACAGCGGTGGCAACTGAAATCCGACCCCTGATTTCCGTGCTCAAGTGAAGCACCGATTCTAGCGGTCTCTGTCTGGTGGTGTGCTAGCGGGCGCTGGGCTCCTGCAATATGAGCGCACCGAGCTGGGATCATTTCAGTTCCCAGTGAAGTTAAAACCGTGGCCAGCCTGATCCCCAGTGAAGTTCAAAGAGCTAAACTCACTATCAAACTAGTTAGCAAACATGCACCGCAAACTTCATTGCACAATGGCCTACACCTACTCGTTGAGTTCGATGATAATACTCTGCAGCTGTGCTCCTTGCGGCTTCAGGTGATCCAGGCTGTGGATGCAGCCAAGAGACCAGCGGATGGTTTCCTTGCGCGAGCGTGGCAGCCACAGGATGATGTCCGACTGCGTCACTTCGAGTAGGTAGAGACCACCGAGCTGCAAGTGTCGCGACAGCGCCGTGGGGTCAATCTCCACACCGACCACATCTGCACATACCAGAACATACAACATGTTTTCTAAGCATTGTTAGCCTAATCTCGGAATACCAATAGTTCTCCAGACTGACAGATGGTATGGTGTGCCCTCAAAAGCTTTCACCTCTTTTCCCTCAGACCACATGAACCAACCATGCACACACCCAGCCTAACAACAAGCAGTTATGTACCGCACCGTAGTAGTAGCAGCAGTAGTACCTTTGCCGGGCTTGGCCACAACCGGTGCTGCCAACAGCTCCTTGCGCAGCGTACCGAGCCATCGCTCCATGTCATTCAGGCTGGTGCAGGCGAACTGGTACTTGGAATCCAGACAGTGGATGACGAACGCATAGTCCTGGCTCTTGGCATGCCGGCTGTCCACCGACAGCACATTATCCAGCTTGATCTCCGCCAGCTTGTTCCTGTGTGAGTACTGTAGCGCGTAGCAACCGCCGCTTGCCGGTGGCTTCACAAAGCGGAAAAAGTACTGCTTGTACGTCTGCAAAATATTAGCAGATATATTAAATATATTATATTAGCAGATATACTCAATCTGCGGACAGAACTGTTTCGTCCTTTTTGGACTCGTTAGCAGATATATTAAATATATATTAGCAGATTAGCAGATCCTAGCACTACAAATACTGGGCCATGAGGTGAAACTGGGGCTGTGCAGCCAACCTGGCTCTGCTACTAGTATGTATCCATTTATAATTAGGTTGGACTGCACTTTCCATCGCTGTATCTGATAGCCCAGCCATGTGTACAAAGTATGCAGTGATGCAGCAGCAGCAGCAGCAGCAGCAAGCAGCAAGGGGGACCACCCCACCATTCAAAGCACCACCCACACGCCCTTGCAGTATTACCATGATTACTGTGTATTGAGTGCAGGCATGCACGGACACAAGTAAAATAAAATTAATTATCTATGCTGGCCAAGGCTACAACTAATATTATTTCTTTTCTAGGTTGCAAATCATAATGCATGCTGCGCTGCACGCAGCTACTCACTAGCCACACTTGTACACGAAATAATTATTTTTACTTTCCAAAGCTTCCGGACTACAGGAAAATCCATCCTCAAGTCAAACTTGCTATCGTCCTCACCACGCAAAGCTGTGTATTTGATTTGCACAATCAAGATGTGCACACGCTTACACAGGCGTATGCCGTGTTCCAGATTGATTGTTTTCTTTTCTGCGTTCATCGCCACACTAACGGTGCACAGACAAACATAATTATACAATATCCACTTGGGTTTTTTTCCAAGAGGCCGGTCGGTTCCGTGTACCTGTCCGAATCGAGTCTGCTGCTTGTAGAGCAGCTCGCTGTTGGCCACCGTCTCCCTCTCCATTGATCCTCTTGAGTTCATTCCCTTCTTGATCTTGCGCTAATCCACACCAGCTGCGCACCTGCGGTAATAACGACGTTACGCGTTTAGGTGGAGATCGTGTAACACAGCGTCCGCGCTGCGTAGAATAATAGCCTCACTCCTCGCGAGTCGGCCGGAAGCAGAGGGTCATTTGCGCCGCTCCTTTACAGGCCTTCAGCGCTTCGCCCGATCCCGGCCGATGCAAATGTCGGACAACTAGTCCGCAATCCGACCCACACTGTGCCACAGCTAGACCAGAAGTGTAATGCCTACTGGACCTTGGTAGATCTTCTACGACGCACGACACAGATACAGCTAGCTGGGAGACGTGACCTAAAAAAATTAATAGTAAAAATTAATCTTTAGTCGATCTGGTGCTCCTCGACTCAGCTACTAGTGTAGTACATGTACTACTACAGCAGTACAGGTAGATCGATATGCAGCCTGGGTGGGTGGGATCAAAATACAGTCAACACTTCAGCAAGCAGTTCGGGCTCAGCTTATTCAACTCGGTCCTGGCCAGTGTACTATAAGTAGACAGACCCCAGCCGTAACTAATTAGTTACTTCCAGAGCACAGTACTAATAATAAACTCTCCTGAACTGGCTGAAGCACCGCCTCATTCGCTAGCATTTAGCTGCCAGTCCGACAGTCAAAGTAATTCCTGTGTACAGTAGTAATGGTTGTTGCTAAAAATTGCCAACGGGTTCATGCAAGGGCCATGACTCCGCATGAGGCATGATACCAACTTTGCCTTTGGCTGTTTGGGGTAGTTGCTGGAAGATCTACCCTACAACTAAGTTTACAAGTACATGATTGTACAAGTAGGCCTTCACTTCACATGTTGCCATCGTTGGTTTTGTTGCGGCCATGTCGACGAGCGCGACATGCATGCCACAGTACATGTATGACAGTCAGTACCGGTATGTGCATGGGATGTGGATGATCACCGGTGCTACTGTACTGTAGTGTAGGCTAGCTGTGTACATGACAGTAGTCAGTAGTGATCTGCAGTCCGATACGTACATGACATGTATACGTAGGATAGTCTAGAACACAATCATTACCGTGCACGCGTGATTACTACAGTGCTGGCAACTGAAATCCGACCCCCTTGACGGCGCACCGCGCGGGTAAGGGGGTCGGATTTCAGTTGCCAGCACTGTACATGACTTGTACAATGTAAGTAGAAGTACAAAGTCATGTATTAAACACTGACAGTCAATATTTTAGAAATTAAAATAATAGTTAGAACAAAGTCAAAGGCAGCGCGAGCGCCCGCGCTAGCTGATATGACGATACTACTAACGACGTTACAAAAAGTAGAACATAAAAATAATTAAAAGAATGAAACCATGATTGTAGATCTACCTGTACTGTACAGTCATGTAGCTACCAGGCCGGCCAGGCCTAGTATCGCCTGAGCTGCAGCCTTTGCAGGCCACGTATGCAGATGACACGACACTGTATCAGTGCATCTCTGCCACCGCCAGCATATCCGACTCTGCAGCACAACTCCAGGAAGCAGTGGACGCCGTCTCCCACTGGGGTTCCAAGTGGAAGGTCACCTTCGAGCCATCCAAATCTCAGGCCCTCATCATCGACCACCGCAAGCCTCCCCCAGCGTTCCCACCAGTGCTCTTCAATGGAGAGACTGTTCCTGAAGAGAAGGAAATTAAACTTCTGGGCATAGCATTCGACTCGCAACTGTCCTACGCAGCACACCTCCGGGCCGTGGCCTCAAAGGCTGCCCAACGCCTACACTTCCTGAGAAAGGTTGCGCCCCTGTTGGACTCCAGCGGCCGCACGGCAGTCTACAAAGGCTTCGTGCGGCCAACAATGGAATACTGCTGCCTGGTGTGGATGGGGTCAGGTACATCCAGACTGGACAAAATACAGCACAAGGCACTGAAGGTGATTGGCCGGTGATTGGCCCAGGCGCCTGGCTCCCCAGCCTGAAACACCGCCGACTGGTTCAACCAGTCGGCTGCGCTTTCGTTCACTTTCAAGCTGTCTTACCTTCCAACAACAAGCCCCCTGAAGCCCATCCTCCCACCTCCAGCCAATCCCCGCCCAGTGGGTGGTCGATCCACTAGGGTAGCCACGGAGACTGCCCACTGCCACCCGCTCCAGCTCAAGTCGACGCTGCCCGTGCGCATCCGTAGCAGCCTCCAGGGTTCCTACCCAGACTGCATTATTCCCTTGTGGAACAGCCTACCAGCGACCATTCTACCAGCACGGCCGCAACCCAGCCAGCTCCAATTATTCAAAGAAAAATGCAACAAGTATCTGCTGCACCTGAACTGGCAAGCAGCCACCGACGCCCTATGAAACGGTTTAGACCAGTGCCTCACTAGCATCCTCCCCCCCCCCCCCCCCCTTACCACAATGTGACGTTATCTTTCACTCTGCTTCTCTCACGACCATCTACCCATTGTCCTTGTTTCTCACTAGTATTCATTTCCCCTCTTCCTCCTCTCTACATGGTTTTACTGCATTATGGCGCGCTTTGTCTGCGTAGACGCCGAGACCTTTGAGGTCGGCAGAGCAGCCTGGCCCCGCCACCACTTCTCGCACATATTCGGGAATATAGTGGACTTTCGTATAAAAAATAAATAAAAAAAGGCCAGGAAGTCGTGAAAACTTTTACGAGACTCGACTCACTACTATACTAGTACTAGACTATGAGTATGACATTGTCATGACCGCACAAAATGATTGACTTTTAGTGCGTTGTAAAGTCTTGTACTTGTAGGCAGGACATCAGTGCAGTCATCACCGGTGCACCATGATCACTGCACTGGATCATGGAGCCGGATTCGGATGCATGTCATGACTGACTGACATGGCTGTGACATGCTGCAATCCTGCTTTACCCAGTGCAGGAGAAGGTCATGGTCTTGCATCGGCGGTAGCCCACGGACGTACATGTGCATGTACCTTCACACCAGCCGGTCATGTCAAGAAAGTTTTAAAAGAAACCTTCGTCCACAGCACGGGTCCTCCTTTTCCAGCTGCATGCATGGTTCACCCTAACACTATTAGTATTAAACACTAACAGGCTGGGTTCATAGTTCATCCTCGCCGCTAGGTAAATCTGCCACCCGGTAGAACTACCCTGGTATACTTGTAGAAGTACTAGTACTCAGGCATTGTGTTTAGCAGTATGGTGGTGGCCTGGCACTAGCATCGTAGCAGAACTTCACCGGTATAACGCAAAAAACGCAGATGTACGAACTTATAACTAGGGCACCAGCCATGAGTCAGTACGCCTAGTTCCATTGCCGCCTTGTGTTTTGGCTCCGCCCTCGTCACGATCGTACGACGTGGCATTGAGCACTTTCTGCAATACAAGGGTTTTTAGCAACATAGCTTGTCAATGATTATGTGGCACCAGTATACATGTACAACTACAAGTTCAACTATACTAGTATACATGTCATGTAGATCTACATGGTATTGTAGATAAACCTTGTTCTACATGTACATGTAATCCACGGTAAATCGTGGCGAGACCTGGAGGATGAGAAAAGATACAATGAGGTTCGCCACTCAGCTTCATCTCTTCATCATTGCTAAGAGCTGCAGTCGTGTAGTGTCAAACGATGGAAACAATGTGCAGTATTGAACGATGGAAGAAGGAAAAATAGTGAAGAAGATAATGATTCTAACAAGTAAGTTTTCACTCTCCAGGAATCGTTTACTAGTACTGGGTCCGGCGATCGTTGACCCAACGAGTCATATGACCAACTATAGTAACCACTAGTCTACTCTTGATTTGGCTGATAAACATGACTGCAGACTGGCAGCAGCATTGACGCGCTACATGACCACAACTGCAACCGCAAAAAGCTCAGTCGACGATGTTCATCACAACGCATCCAGCACTCATGTCATGATCCCCGGCGACCGTGCTAGTGCTAGCATGCTGCCAGGCAGTGAGCTGCATTACATACCGGAGTATCATTCTGCTCAAACTACGACAACAACATAGTCATTGAACATGTAGATGTACGTCAGGTCGGTGAGGTCGCTCACCGTCGCTGCCACCTTGCCGCCGGTGACCAGTGAATGACTTGTAGATCCTGGGTCGGGGCAGGAAACAAAAGGTCTCCCTCTCTTCCCACGCACACCGACGTGACAGGCATGGAAACGTACAAGAATGTATTCCGGTATTCCGGCAGAAGTTCATAGACGCAAACCGGGCACCGATGCAACAACATGACACTGGTCTACCACTGACGCACGAAACGTGACAGATGGGACGATCCAGCATGAAGGGACCCAGGCACAGCCACTTCGCCATGGCAAACAGGTGTACAGCTGTCAAAGGCCACTAGGATGCATGGTCACAACTGGAAATTGTACTCTGACAACTCCCCCCCCCCCCCCCCCCTAACGATTGATTATTATTACTTGTACATGTATTATTATAAAGTCGACTCCCACGGCCACAGCATTGACATAGTTTTTTACAGTATACTGTGCATAGATGAATCACAGTGAACTAATGCAGCCTACATGTGTACCGTAAAGTACTATCAGGGCCACAGGGAGCAACCCTTACCGGCAGCCCCATACTTGAATGCGTCAACGACACGTTGACGCATTCGACAGGCATACAAAACCATGCCTGGCATGACGGGAAGCATCAGCCCACGGGGATTTCCCGTGGCCCTCACACAGCCTAGGTATGATCCTATCGCCGTATCGGTAGCTGAAGAGATCCACGCGTGTCCCATTTGATTTCATTGAGAACTGCGCGATCGAAAACTTACGGAAATACACGCGCGCCGACAATGCCGCCCGCCTCCGTCAAAACATCGTCAGGTGCATTTCTCTTGCGCAGTGAGTTCCTTTCGTCCTCGGATGACTTCTCCGACGACGACCTAGCAGTCATTCGCTCTGGGACCGACGACAGATAGAAAAATACTTCGTTCCAGCCGCCGATGCAAGCGAATTTCAAATTACGGAGCGGTGCGCACGCCAAGCAAATTCGCAAGCAAATATGGGGAGCGCCAGCCGCTGAAGACGATGTCGTCGTGATGTACCTGGAAGAATCTGATGGTGCTTATGGTGGGGAAGCCATGGAGAGCGATCCCCGTGTCGACAGTCTCCAAGAGACGGAATTTTAGCCCATCGACTTTCTACGTACTTGAGTGACGGCAGCGCAGCGCGGCGTGCGTGCGACCTTACGGAGCTTTCCGACAGCGATTCTGGGGCGATGCTGCTCTCATTTGCGAGCGAGGCATGGCCACTGAAGTTTGTGATGGCTATGGCGTTTGTTTCCTCTCCGAAGTCGACTTGTTTTGGTAGTATCATGTCAATGTCGAAACTCTGACGATTTGCATGTGTACAATTTCCGTGTTTAGACGTAGAGGTGCCAATTTAGCAGCGTATGTGTGTGGTATGAGAAAATAAATTTTTCCATGGTCAAGAAGTAGTACAGTCAGTATCGCCTATAGCGTTGGTGTTTGATTTTGAGCATTTTATCACTATAAGCGATATATTACTATGACCGATCCTGCATGCAATGTATGCGAATGGGGTGTCAAACGACTCAGCGCGCCGTGCACATACGCACTACATACATGTACATGTACAATGTCATGTAGCTGGCTGTAGCTCCGGACACACAAAATCAGGATTTCCTCATGATGGAGGCATTATGTTGGCAACGTGTACATGTACAAGCAAAACTCACCAAACAACACTCATTGGACAAGTTCTTCACGAAGAAGTAACACCCTGTTCTCCACTGACATCGCTTGATTTCACATCAATCACTATAACCGATGCAAAAATAGTGTAATAAACGTCTTTTGAAATATGAATTTGATCCCTATAGGCGATATATTACTATAGACGATTATTACTATACGCGATAACTTTGTATACTTAGTTATGGCAAATGAAAATGAATTTGAGAAATTGATCACTATATCCGGTATATTACTATAGCCGCCAACCTTATAGGCGATACGGACTGTACTAGACTTCCAATAAAACATAACTTGCACTTACAAAATGTGGCCTCGTTGTGAGTTATTGGTATCGTTCTAAATGTTATGGATTTCATATACAAAAGTAACTTGCCGGTAAAGGGTTAACACAGACCGAGCTCTGGAGACTAGATTGTACCCGGACCGCTTTGAAGTAATCCAATGCACGCACACATGCAGGTGAAGGCAATAAGCACATGATAACGCAGCCAAATTCCTTGAAAAAATCCTGAATACTATTCGACTGGTTATTCCAAGTCAAACGTCACACCACCAAGCGGCCATCATGATCAACGGTGGTTGAAGTGAAATAATATTCACAAGACCCAAATGCTTGTCTGTTACTTTCCCTTCCGGAACAGGTTGGCTTACCGTATTCTCTCCAATATAAGCACAGTCTCCAATAATAGCACGTCTCCAATAATAGAACACCTTGGGGCGGCATTCAAAAAATAAAGTGCTCAGTCTCCATTATAGCACACTGTGTAAATTCATTATCTGTACCGGCGAAAAAAAACCTGAAATGTGTGTGTCATACATGACTTTGGCATGGCAACATGCCTCTGAAATGAGGTTGAAATAATAATGGAACAGTCTCCAATAAAGGAACGTCTCCATTAATAGCACGGGGCGGAGGTACATTGAAAAAATAAAGGACCGTGCTTATATTAGAGATAATACGGTATACTTCCAGTCGGGGAAAACAAGTTACATACCGGCACCAGTGGTCTAGTGCCGGCACACAGCATGAGACCAGGACTCAGGAGTAAATTGTGAAAGAAATTCTTCTTCGGAAATCCATCGGAACCATATAAAAATTTGAATCATCGCTGAAGTCAATTTGTACGCGGGGTAAATTATGTTCCGCGTGGATCGAGATGGTAATTGCAACTTTAAAAAAAAATGTCATGGTGGAATCATCGAGGAGTGTGCCAGGGTCATGCATTACAATGTACTGGTACTTTGAAGTATGGGATGGTAAAATTTAATTTGTTACATACAGGATACTAGTACTTGGGGCCAGGCATGTACATGGACTAGTACATGAAGTGAACAACTGAAAATGCATTGCTAGTGTTATTCGGCATGCCCGCCAAGACTCGGAGAAAGGTGAGAAATCAAGTTGAACGGTGATAATAATCCTTTGTGGGTGGGTAAGCATCCACGGGAACGTGGACTCATCTGGTGTGTGATAATAGATGAAGGGAATTTCCAGTGAAATATGATGTGCAAGAATTCAATTATCCTTCGAGCTTGTCACTATGACCATTCAAGCCGCTCAAAGTGGAGCAGGCATCTTTAATTCACATACGTGGCAGTGAGAGAACTTTGGTGCTGACAATACTGAAGGGTAGTTTCTAGGAAAGAGCTACAACCATCAACAGAACTACGGCATGAGCAGTACGTGCGGCTATCAAAACACTGCTAAGAACAGCACAGCTACCGCTCATCATCGGTCGGCTCAAGACAATCCTAGGGGCGACCACCGTAATGTTGATTGAGTGCCTGGGCGGTCTTTACAAACTGAGACGCGCTGCGCGCCATCTCCGCCGTCTTCTGCTCCACTTCAGCGATCTTCTTTTCACGCTCATGCAACGCCTAGAATAGGTGGCAAGGCCACAGGCAAGAGGCAAGTGCAAACATGTATCAAGCAACTATCAACGCTCAAGGCTACGAGCGGCGATCTGATCCTCACGCCGAGTTCAGGAAAAACCCAACCACATGTATCGAACGCCACACCTGGGTCAGTAGCGGTGGTCCAGGAATAATGTGCCGACTATTGGACAATGCTTTACAGAAGACGCGCGCACGCGTGTGTGTGTGTGTGTGTGTGTGTGTGTGTGTGTGTGTGTGTGTGTGTGTGTGTGGTGCCAGCTAGTTTGGTTGGTAGGTACACTTATGCCTGATTGTGTTGGGTCTGTTGCCAACAGGCTCGGCTGCTTGAAGGTGTAATGTTGTACCCGCCACCTTTGTTGGTTCCAGGGTTCATATACTTTCTATTTGAAGTATACATACCTGTTAACCATGGACTGCTTCTGGCTAGATTAACTCTTGTGTAATCAATGGTGCTAGTGAAGCTTTTATCAGATCCACTCTGATTTAGCCACTCACACTAGTAGCAAGTATTACCTTCACTGGGGCAGGGGTAACTGCAATTGGATCCCGGGACGGATACCCTGATGCCGTCAATCCTTTTTCTGCACCTTGTCCTCACCCACTTACTGAGGTGCGGTGAGCCCATAAGTGGGATCATTTTCAAGTCCACCCAGAGTTTTGGGGATTTCAGGGGGTGTCGGCCGTTGGGCGGTTCAATAACCAATTGAGTCATCTTTCCAAGATTCCTTTTGAGTCTCTCTCCCCTCTCGGGGGGGGGGGGGGGGGGGACTCACGTGACCAGTTTTGGCAGTGAGCAACAAGTACAGTGTGTGTGTGTGTGTGTGTGTGTGTGTGTGCACGCGTGTGCATGTACCTGTGTGCGAGTGTGTGTTCTGTTCTGGATTATTCTCTCCAAAGAATATACTTCCTCCGTTAAAGGGGAAGTATACCCTAAAATCAAATTTTCACCAGTTGTAGTCTTCGGGGTGCTGAGTCGAATGGTCTTGGTCCGAGGAAGCTGAGACGCTCCCTTCCTACTTGAATCCCAATCGAACTCGCGCACTTCCACCGAAACTGGGTGACTGCGCCCTACTAGATGGGGATTTGTATGCAAAATGTCACTAAAAGCGCCATTTCGTTCTTATAAAAGCACGGATGACCGCGATTGGCCCATATGTTGTAGTCTTTTGGACGCTGAGTCGACTGGTTTTGGTCCGAAAAGGGTGCGATGTAGCGTTCCTCCTTTATTCCCAATCGAACATGGTTGAACAAGCGGTCACGTGCTTCTGCGTACACCAGTCACCTGGTCACCGTGCCTGCAGGGTACAACTTACTAGCCTGTTTGACCTTTTTTGGGTGCACTCCTGTCACTCGAGTTGAACTCGAGTTGAACCTTGGTGTGAAATTTGTCGCCTGCTGGCGTGGTGACCAGGTGATTTGGGCACCCAGGAGCACGTGACCGCTTGTTCAACCATGTTCGATTGGGAATAAAGGAGGAACGCTGCATCGCAGCCTTTTCGGACCAAAACCAGTCGACTCAGCGTCCAAAAGACTACAGCATATGGGCCAATCGCGGTCATCCGTGCTTTTATAAGAACGAAATGGCGCTTTTAGTGACATTTTGCATACAAATCCCCATCTAGTAGGGCGCAGTCACCCAGTTTCGGTGGAAGTGCGCGAGTTCGATTGGGATTCAAGTAGGAAGGGAGCGTCGCAGCTTCCTCGGACCAAGACCATTCGACTCAGCACCCAGAAGACTACAACTGGTGAAAATTTGATTTTAGGGTATACTTCCCCTTTAACAAAAACTTCGTGATGGATTTTGATGGATATGAAAACGCTTAGAACAGGTCAATAACAGTTTGTATCGACTGCAAATCACTGGACGAAGGTGATTCAGCCATGTACAGCGTCTTTACAAGAGAATCTGTTGGCGGAATGAGCAGAGAGTTCAGTATGCGTCGCTTTCGCTCGACTCATTTTTGACCCTGCGTCGCTGTCGTCATCTGCTGCACGCGAGTCGTCATCTGCTGCACGCGAGTCGTCATCTCTCTCGAATCATTGTTCAGCTCGTTTCAGCCTTGCCTCGGCTTCTTTGATCACACTCCGCTGACCTTGATGTTGCCGTCGTTCAAGTAAGTTGGCTTTCAAGCTGCGTGATCCGCCGCGATGGCGATTCCTCGTTTCCACCAGGGAGTCGTAAAAATATTTTACGACTCCCTGGTTTCATCTTCGCTCTCCAGATCTCCGCGAAACGAGGAGTAAAGGCACAGCCAAAACTGTTTCAATTTTCTCTGATGGATACCCCTGGCAGCACTGAACGGCAGCGGCTAGCAAGTCCAGTCGACTTTCTTTAGCCACGAGACTTGCATCGGACTGCAGACTTCTGAAAGAATACATGGTCATCAGCATTCGAATCTGGGCTTTGCGCAGGTTGAACAAGAACTTGAGCTCAGAATTATTTTCATTGAGCCGTGCGATCGGAGCAGCTCCTTGTTCACTCGCTCATTGTGTGGACTCGTTGCTCCGTTTGATCGCTCTTTATCACTCTCCGACTTACTCAGTGCTAGAGTAGTAGAGTGGCTTGACAACGCAATATCCCCTCGGAGAAGTGGTATTTCAGTTTCGCTCGCCATAACTGTCATCACCTATGTTTCCACAGCGCAACCATCGATTCCGCTCGGCTTGTTGTGAAAGGTCGCTTTCCTTGAATCGTACCTTTTTCATGGCCCGCCACTGGGCCGCCAGGGAAGGCCAAGAAAGTGATTGCGACTCATTTCACGGCAGTTTGTGCGCAAACCAGCCTCTCAAAAATCCATCACGAAGTTTTTGTTAACGGAGGAAATCACCCGTCTCCTCAACACAGTCACCCAATAGGATACTGCCAGGGCATCCCCTCAAACGTCAGCACGAAAGCTAAGTATCGCTCACCTTAATGTATGTAGCCTGTATAATAAATTACATGAAATTGAAGCACTCATGCATGCTCGCGATTTAGACATATTAACGTTAACGGAAACGTGGCTATCCGACAGTGTACCTGACATATGTATTACAGTACCTGGATACACCATGCATAGACTTGATCCGAACTCAAAGAGAGGAGGTGGTGTCAGTATATACGTAAGAGAATGCTTCGGTAATCGAGCACTACATCACTCCTCTCCCATTGAAGCCCTTGCAGTACACGTGAACATTCACCCCCAGCCTCTCACTATCCTCTGTGCATATCGAGCTCCAACAGTACCTGTAGCATTTTGGCAAACCTTATCTAGCCTAACTGATGACATACTGGATTGTACACCGGCCTCCTCTGCGTGCATAATTCTAGGCGATTTCAATGTCAATGTCCAAGACCCTAGTCACGCACATTACCCTCACCTACGAACATTCTGCCATGATTTTGATCTCCGAAACGTTGTCACGTCACCAACTAGATTCCCTAGTGCAACAACCATAGACCTAGCACTGATCTCAAGCTCTTCCTCCACCACGTCTACTTCAAGACCAGGCAGGGATGAACTGATTTACAAAGACTGCAATGTTATTCCATGTGATATTTCCGATCACCAACTTGTTTGTGTGAACTACAATATCCATGCTACCACCAGCACGCTCAAGACAAACAGACAGGTACAAGTACGAAAGCCACCGCTGCGTACGTTGAAGATTAAGCAATTCCAAGAGACAGCTGCTAAACATATGTCTACTCTCCACCAGCAGATCACATGCAGTTCATCACAGATGTCTCTAGATAGTTATACTGAACACTGGCAGGATGCAGTCAGTGATGCATTGAATGAGTACTGCCCACTAAAGACTGTTAACGCCAAGAAGAGCTATACTCCATCGCCTTGGGTAGACGATGAGCTCCGGCAGACTTTATTCAAGCGTAAACGAGCACACCGTGCAATGATAAAACGTCCTGATCGCTCAGACCTGCTGCAACAATTCCGAACTCTACGAAGACAATGTAAACTTTTAACTAGGAAGAAACGGTCTACATACTTCCAGCAACAACTAATCAATCATCGAAACCACCCAAGAGAGCAATGGAGTGTCATGAACAATCTACTGGGTAGAATTAAAATCAACCAGGAACCTGCTGCCGAAGTAGCCGACATCACAAAGACATTTACAGACGTTGTCAACGATACATCACTTTCTGGCAGTACACTACGCACTCCTAATGGCCCTGTATCGGAATACTCCCTGACACAGTTCACACCAGTCACTGTTCCACAAGTCCAACTCCATATCCAGAGAATGAACAGTCGTAAAGCCACAGGACCTGATAACATCCCCGCCCAGGCCTACAAACTCATCAAAGATGAGATCGCCCCATCTTTAGCCAACCTATTTACCAAGTCTCTTACGTCTGGCGATTTTCCATCGACATACAAACTAGCAAACGTGCGGCCTATCTACAAGCGTGGAGATAAGTCAGTCCCATCCAACTATAGACCAATATCACTCCTGTCCCACATGTCTAAGCTACTGGAACATATTGTACACGACCAACTAATGTACTATATCTATAATGCACCACCACCACTATTACCCCTACCTGCTGAGCAATTTGCCTACCGCAGAGGCCACTCCTGCGAGGACTTGCTCACTCCCGTGATCAACGACTGGATGCTCTCCTTGGACAATGGTGATTATGTCGTAGCTGCCTTTCTAGACATGTCTAAGGCATTCGACACAGTTAGTCATGAAGTTCTACTGAGTGAACTTCTGGAGATCGGTGTCGGTGGTACTGCCTTGCAGTGGTTCTGTAGCTACCTTACCCACAGGAAGCAACGTGTGGTCACCAAGACACAGCAAGGCCTTACATATAGCAGCAACAGGGGGGTTCCGCAAGGCTCCGTCTTGGGGCCCTCTCTCTTCAATCTGTCAGTCAGAAAGCTCCCATCTGTACCCCAGCACTGCAAGGCTCGACAGTACGCGGACGACGTCTCCCTGTACAAAGCTGGCAAGAACGTCAAACAATTGTGCAAGGAGTTGACAGAAGACATTGTGAAAGTGAAAGAGTTCTTGGCGGCCAGAGGCTTACTGCTGAATCCTTCCAAGACGCAGTTTGTCGTGTTCAGGTCAAAGTGCAAGCCCCTTGACCCTAGCGTGGCTCTACAGCTGGGTGAGGTCACAATCAACCCTAGTGCACACATTCGATACCTTGGCATTATACTCGACGAACATCTCTCCTTTGGAGAGCACGTTAGGCAACTAGAGCGGAAAGTTGGAAGTAAGTTAGCCATGTTCAGAAAGGTCCGAGATCACATGACGGTAACTGCAAAGCGTGCATTTTACATTTGTTCCATTCAGACAGTACTCGAGTATGGGAGCAACTCATTTGCTCACTGCTTGTCAGTAACTCTGCATGACCGTCTAGTCCGTCTTAGTAATAGAGCTCTACGCATTGTGTTCAGTATGCCTCGTTTTTCTGACGTATCCCTTATTAATGCACGCCATCACATTCTCCCTTTGTCTGTGCGCTATCAGTTCAAACTCTATATCTTAGTGTTTCGTGTCCTGAATCAGGTAACTACTACTCTCCTTACTGATTGCTTTTGCCTTCGTTCTACTTCTACTCGTACCAATTCCTGCACTCGCTCCCAGGTATCTTCGTCTGTGACTCTACCCAAGGCTAAAACTCGTTTCGGTCTCTTTTCAGTTTCTTTCATCGGTTCCGACCGTTGGAATGCCCTCCCTGCTGCAGTCCGCTTATGCTCTTCCCTGCATCTATTCCGTAATTCAGTACTTTCATTTCTAGGGTACCCTGTAAGAAGGCCTTAGGCCTGTGGGGATTGCCCTATCAAAAATTTGATAATAATAATAATAATAATAATAATAATAATAAGTAGCCCAGAAAGGCATTCGCAGAACACCCTTTGCTTTTCGAAGCATTTAGAACAGTGTGAAGTCCAAGCTGTGCGATTCCTGAGCAATAGGGCTTGAAAGTGATGACGTCAAAAACGGCCAGGGAGTAGTAATTTGACATCAGATTTCTATTTTGGATCCACTGAGGTGTGACTTTGCTACTGCCTCAGTATGTGGGTGCATAGCAACTCACTCATGTCGTATGCAGGGGTGACTTTTACTTCGTCACCAGTTGTAACCCCGCCCCCAGTAGCCAAATCAGTCAGTTTCACTGGTTACATCACCTTGCTGTGAGTAAGACGGCTTGAAATGCGCTTGGATCCATACAAAAACTGGATCCAAGTGGATCCAGTTTTTGAATTTTTGAAATTGTTGCTATGCTGTGACGTAGCACTTTCAAGCCCTATTGAATACTTATGGAAAATGCCGACTCGTACAGTTTACAAACATTGAGCCACCACGAGTGCGCCTGGATGCCTGATGGTACACCGTGCTACTATACAGATACCATCTCAGGGGCCAATGCACTATACAGATACCATCCCAGGGGCCAATGCACTACTATACAGATACCATCCCAGGGGCCAATGCACTCAGGAAAACAGCTTTGCACAGCCCAAACACCACTGCCTCTGCGAAGCATAAGCAAAAAAGCGTTCCGCCTTCTGTGCGCTACAGGCAAACATTTTCAAACGTATCTAAGTGCAAATGAATGCGGATATTCCAGGTGGCTACAAGTGAACTCTTACTTGCATTACTTCGCTGAATACAGTGCCGGTCTTAAGGCTCACTGCTTCCAGGCCACCAGTGCCACTGACGTGCGTCGCAACAGTGGTGTTACCATCACCTTCGCCCAGCTCAGAGCCAACTGCATACACAGGGCACATGCAGCAGTCATGAACTACATTGTGATAAGACTGGGACTGCAATTACTCCCAGCCCCAGCTCACAGCCTAAACCATTAACCATGGAAAAGAAAAGAAGAAGAAAAAAAACGGGGACCCTTTCGAAGCAAAATGCAAAAGAACAGCGATTCCGCACCCAAAGCAGATCTCGTTGTATGCACCATCTGACCTTCAAGAAACACAACTCCAGCATAGTTGTAAGAATACCAGCCAAGGAGTAAATCTACTAGTACATCATTACAGGATACAGCACATGCTGAGCAACGTACACAGCGCATCCCGATCCAATTTCTTGCCGCCACCAATCAAACTGGCAAAGAATCCCTTCGGTGGCCGCTCCGGGAAAGTCTTGACGGTGTGAATGTCGGGAAGACTATCCGGCAAGTTTAGCCTACATGGACAAATGCAAACAATCGCAGTCAAGATTATACAAGATAATGGAACTTTAAAAATAATGAACTAAATTGAAAGCATGAAATCACGTGGCTACAATCATGTTCATTTCGAATGGGAAAGTGCGGAAAAAAAAACAGTACAAAAAACAGTTTCAAAAAAATCGACCACGCCAGGATTCGAACCTGGAATCTCCTGATTCGTAGTCAGGCGCCTTATCCGTTGGGCCACGCGGCCAGACAACAATACAATGAGCGGGGGTCACTTTGAGCTGTAAGAGACATCTCATTGAACGTGATAAAGTGTGACTCGTGGACACATTACCGTTGCGTGCGAGAGTTTGAATGGCGAACTACAAAAAATAAGTAAAAATCTTCTGTGGAATGTGCAGAACCTGTGATTACTGGAGTTCCATACAGCAAGGCTATACTAAAATACGTATATGAGCGTGGACGAAGGAAAGGCACTGATGAACACTTGAAGTATTTCGAAGTACATATTCTACACGACGTTGGTTGCTCCTACGTGCAGCATACTAACGTCTTGTTATACTTCAATAATACTTATCTTATGGCATTATGGAGAAACTACCTATCAAGTGAAAACCATGTGTTAGCCAATTACAACAACAAGCAGTGCAAGAGAATGCTAGGCAATGTACTGTATGTACGTGTTTGTGTTAGCCAACCGTGACAACAAGCAAGGTAAGAGAAAGAAAGGAATGTCGTGTACGTACATGTTCTCCTTGAGCAAAGAGACACGTTGGATGTTTGATGGATTTGACATGTACACCGCTTGACCACCAGATGACCACCGGAGGGTGTCCACCATTCTACAAGCAAACGCACACAGTGCAAAGGTGCAGAATCATCGTGAGTTTACAGCAGAGAACACATGCACACTGCACACAGTAACACATACATTGCTGTAGAACGTGCTATTTTCGGTGTAACTTGAATTCCAGTGATTTTTCGGCAGAGACACCCGTCGTCTAAACTTAGATCACACCTACACCTACACCTACACCTACACCTACACCTACACACACACACACACACACACACACATACACATACACACACACACACATACACACACACATACACACACACACACACAACAGAGGCGAACGGCTGTGTAGCTGTAACTTTTAACTTAAGCTACACAGCCTTTCGCCTCTGTTGTGTGTGTATACTGCTCTGCACATTTGTGCATTGAGCACTCTAACTGTTACTTCGAGCTGCCTAGACCGGCCTTATTTGAATAGATTACAACTAAAGGGCACTGGGGCATGCATTGTATGTGAAGGGAATGCCAGCCACCTAGTTCAATATCTCGCCTGAAACCTGGCAGGCATCCGACACCGAAATTTCAATACACCTAAACTTAAATGTTGTACAGTAGCAAAGAGATGCTACACAGCACATAACACAACCATACTATGATGATACACGTTCTAGCCCTACCTGATTGGTAGAGGTGCAGGACATAGCTCAGCGTCATGCAGAGCGGTGAGGCTGGGCAGCGAGATGATGACCGAATGGCCGTCGTTGGTCAGAGTGCAGAGCACGGCGCCCTCTGCGTAGTACATGTGTGCACATCCACACACATCCACACACATCCACACACATCCACACACATCCACACACATCCACACACATCCACACACATCCACACACATCCACACACACACACACACCATTGACCATTGACCATTGGACGCCCATCACGAGGGGCGATGATAGCGATGCTACAGCAGAAGCCATAGCAACTTGTGCTGGGATTGCACCATTCAACAGCTTGCAAGGCTGAAGAATTGACCACCACTATTCAGCCTGGTCTACACCACACAGCTTTGAAGTGGCTTTTTTCTGGCCAGTGAATCCCCACTTTTTGGTCTTTTTTTCTTCTTTTTTCCCGCACACACATCACACCACATACTCCGGCATGCACTGGCTGTTGGTAACCACCCAGGAGAATGAAAGAAAAGTCAGGAAGAGTCTGAGAAAGAGAAGAAAGACGTGCACACACACACACACACACACACACACACACATCCACACACACACACACACATCCACACACATCCACACACATCCACACACATCCACACACATCCACACACATCCACACACATCCACACACATCCACACACACGCACGCACGCACGCACGCACACACACACACACACACACACACACACACACACACCAAGCATCATACATGCATACACACCAGGCCATTGAAATGCTGCCGTCATGAATGTGTTGTGACAGACTCGAGGCACATTGTACACATATCATGTACTCCGAAGAGACTAAGTTCAGCAGATTATCAATTTCAATCCCAGGCGCTTTAATT